GTACATTATTCTTATCATGAATTTTGGGATCCGTGTCTTTACTCTATTCAGAGAATATTATTACTCAAAATAATTCGTTTTTAAGAATGTGATCAAAAGAAATTGAGGTATAAAATGGTAAATTAAAAGTCAAAATAAAACAAAACTAAATGCTCTCTAAATTAATGCACAAATCCGCTGAAAATATTTTAACTACTAGATATTGATCTGGCCTGTATACTTCCATTGAAGGACAACATCTATACAAATTCAAACAGAATTACATTTAATTACACTAGTTGTTCCATATTTAAGTCTGTCTAGACACATTTAGCTGAAATAATTTAAACAACAAGAAAGCTGTATCTCATCCCATAGAATATCCATTGAATTTAAGTTGATTCACCATCACTTTCATGTTCGCCATTACGACGAAAAAAATAGAGGTGCTTAAAACGATCACGCAATACACACAATTCTAAAGACATGAACATTTCGATAAAAAGAGGAGAGATGACGCTAAAAAAGCATAAGGCTACATTATTTGAACAGACATAATACACTCCAAAACTATTTCAAAAAACGAGTAATAGGCTAAAATGTCAAGAATTTAAATTGCAAAGTGCATGTTAAATGCACAAAGTTGATAAAATCCTAAAACCCAGTCTTGTTGTCGGAATAAATGTGGTGGTTAACTTAATTTTGATAGATGTGGAATTATGATTGTTTAATAAAATGGTAAACATGATCGGAGGCACCAAAAAGGTGTTATAATTACAATTGCATGTGGATTTTAAGATGACAGATCGCATGTTTTGAGCATGGAAGGTACACTAAACAATCTGTAGCGTGGCGTCGAGTTGAGCTGAACTATGAACACCGCTACCAGACTACTTGCCAATAGACCAATAAAATTCCGATAGGCCAAAATATCAGAAGGCAAATGATTGTAGTAGTCGTATATATTTGTTGGCGATCTCGTGGTATCGAAAGAATACCGAGATCGTGCCAAAGGAGTACAGTTGCGATCGGCAAGATAAGATACGTGCGTAGTCCAAAAACCGCGTAAAAGCAACGGAATACAATGGAAGCCCAAAATGGCTGTTATTAGCACAGTTAAACAAACGAGCACAGTAAAACAGTCACTGGTACAATTGGTTATAATAATAATTGTTTTCATCGAACCAATCGCGTTCTGTTGACAAAAGTATGTCACTACAGGAGCCCCCCGCTAGAAAGGGTTTACACTTTCGATAGTTAGCGGTTTGATTCGTGGGACTGATCGGCAGAATTGCGGTTGTAGGACGGAGGAAATTGGCGGAACAGGAAGTGATCATTGATCCTCGAGTTTCCAACGAAAGTCTTTTGCGCAGAACGGTACCAGGAGAAGTGTGCTGTATTTGTTGGTCGAGTTAGCATACCACACCAGAGTGGTTTGTATCCAGAATCTGATGATTGCGTTCGTAGGGATGTGAACCAGAAAACGCTGCAGACGTAGGACGAAACCACGTTGAGCCAGGAAACCGGACGCGACCATAACTACCAAGCATATGCCAGGCGAATTCGAGACCAGATAATCGACTGAGTGCGTTGACTAGAGCGTGGGTGGCCAAACCAGCTTTCGCCAAAGTTGACTGAAGTCGACGTTATCAAATGGACGATGGTCGGAGGCGTGGGCTCAGGATACAAAAAAAAATCAAAAAAAAGAAAAGTGTAGCATGCGTGTAGTATAGGAATAATCCTACACCGTATCCGTTATTGACTGTGCGTTTAGTCGCGAAAGCGTACGGGTAATCGTACTCGGCGACCGGAACGTGAGACGGTAGTCTCGTTCGTACTTCGTGAGCCTGTGATCTCATCCGAGGTCAAGGGCGGCGTGGTCTGCCGATCTGGACGTGAGACGGAAGTCTCGTCCGTAGATGGTGCAGATGACGCGTGCTGTTGACCGGGACGTGAGAACGAGGTCTCTGATGTATCTAGCGTGGGATCCGAGGTAGACGTAGAGATCCCGCTAGAAGGTTTGGTAGGTCTAGCATTGAGTCTCAAGTTATTGGGTAGGGCACTGTCATCGACGTGTGCTGGTTTGAGACGATCAATGCTGACGATCTCGACGCGGCCGTGTCGATCAACCTTGAAGGTCTTTTCGTGACGAGAGATCACGTGAAAAGGGTCTTCGTAAGGCTGTTGTAGAGGTTTGCGTACCGAATCTACTCGTATGAAAACATGTGAACAGGTAGATAACTCTCGAGGGAGAGCGACCTGTCGATGTTGTATTCGAGTTGACACCGGAGACAGCGTTCGCATAAATGCAGACAGTCGATGGACGTAGTCTGATTTACCGAAATCATTACTGCTCCGTGGTGTGAAGAATTCCCCAGGCAGACGCAATGTCGTGCCGTATACAAGTTCAGCGGCGGAACATTGGATATCTGCCTTCAAACTCGTTCTGATGCCTAAGAGAACGAGCGGTAAGGTTTCGTACCAATTGTCGTTTTCGTGTGCTCGGAGAGCACTTTTAAGTTGGCGGTGAAACCTTTCGACTAAACCATTCGATGCTGGATGGTAGGCGGTAGTGCGTATGCGTTCCGTACCAAGCAGCCGGGTCAGTGAGGAGAATAATGCGGACTCAAATTGTTGTCCTCGGTCAGTCGTGACAGTCGAGGGACAACCGTACAATGCTATCCATCGTTCTACGAAGCGGTGAGCAACTGTCTCCGCCGTGATAGACGTGATGGGAATAGCTTCGGGCCATCTTGTAAAACGGTCAATGCACGTGAGTATGTGATCATACCCATGCGATGGTGGCAATGGTCCTACAATGTCTATATGAACGTGATCAAAGCGAGCATCAGGCGTAGCGAACGTGCCAATGGGGGCAGCTACGTGCCTGTGCACTTTTGATCGTTGACACTGTAAGCATTGTTTTACCCACATACGAACATCTTTATTCATGGACGGCCAGACGTATCGTGCAGCGATGAGGCGTAATGTGGCTGCGATACCTGGATGAGACAATCCATGGAGGGCATCGAAGACGAGACGGCGATAGGTAGAGGGTACGATGGGTCGAGGTAGACCGGTAGAAATATCACATAGGATAGTACCTGAGCTAGTAGCTAGGGGTACTTCCTGACACTGAAGGGACGAAGATTGTGGTGCTTTTGTACAGACAGGATCGTTTGCTTGCGCGGCGGCCATAGCAGGAAGATCGAGCACCGGTAAGGTAACTGCATTCGTCTGGATACGTGATAGAGCATCGGCAACGTAGTTCGACTCGCCTTTAATATGACGAAGGTCTGTCGTGAACTGTGAGATATAGTCCAAATGTCTGCACTCTCGTGGTGAGTAGCGGTCAGACTTGGTATGCAGAGCATACGTTAAGGGCTTATGGTCGGTGAATAAGATGAATTGACGTCCTTCTACTGCGTGCCGGAAATGTTTGATGGCGCAGTAGGCTGCAAGCAGCTCGCGACCAAAAGCGCTATATCTCGTCTCCGTGGGAGTAAGGCGTCGTGAGAAAAATTCAAGCGGTTGCCAACTACCGGAGATATTCTGTTGCATAACGGCTCCTATGGCAAAATCCGATGCATCAACCGCTATACTAAGCGTGGCTGATGGGTCAGGATGAGCGAGAAGTGTAACTTCAGCGAGAGCCGTTTTGATCTCTGAGAATGCAGTACGTGCGGTATCGTTCAATTCTAGTTTGCGTGGATTACCGCGTAGTAAATCGGTTAATGGTCGTAACCGTTCTGCCGCGTGAGGGATGAAACGTCGGTAGAAGTTAACCAAACCGAGAAAAGCCTTCAGTTCCTTGATTGAGGACGGCACGTTGTACTCCTTGATTGCTCGAACTTTGTCCTCGCAAGGCAGAATACCCTCTTGTTTGATGATGTGACCCAGAAATATTATTTCTGATTTACCCAATTCACATTTTTCTGGGTTGACTACTATTCCATTATCCGAAAGACGTTGGAATAATAGCGTAAGGTGTTGATAATGTTCATCTACGTTTGATGATGCGATCAGCAGGTCATCAATATAGACGTGAACAAAATCCAAGTCTCGTACTATGCTATCGATAAACCTTTGGAAAGTTTGAGCAGCATTCCGTAATCCAAATGGCATTCGTAGGAACTCAAACAGACCGAAAGGAGTCGTGATAGCAGTTTTTTCGATGTCTTCAAGAGCGACTGGGATCTGGTGATATGCTCGTACCAGATCGATTTTAGAAAAGATAGTCGTGCCCTTGAGCGATGCCGTGATGTCGTGTATGTGGGGGATGGGGTAGCTATCAAAGCGCGTAACTACGTTTAATGCTCGGTAGTCGCCGCATGGTCTCCAACTAACCCCATCCTTTTTGCGCACCATGTGTAAAGGAGAGGCCCAAGGACTGTGAGAAGGACGAATAATACCAGAAGATAGTAAATTGTCAAACTCACGTTTAGCGAAAGCTAATTTGTCCGGTGCCAGTCGGCGTGGTCTTGCCGTGACTGGTGGTCCGCGGGTGACTATGTGGTGTACCACACGATTGGTCACCGATGAAATCTCCTCGAGTGGTTTAGTTAATCTGGGGAATTTCTTGAATAAGGCGTGGAATTTATCGTCACGCGAATAAAAAGTTCCGAGGATTCGGTACGCGTTTGTGTGAGCTTTAAAGCCCATGAATTTGCTGTTCGACGAAGTATCGATTAGCTGCAGCCTACGTGAATCGACTAGCAATTCATAGTGCTGTAGGAAATCAATACCTAGTATGGCTGTGGGAACATCAGCAATGATGAACGTCCACAGATACCGTCGTCGGTTGCCCAGGTTGACCGCGAGTTGTCGTGTACCGTAGGTAGGAATGGCTGAGCCATTTGCAGCGCGTAGTCGAAGCATTGTAGCTTGTGACTTGATGATACCTCGTGGTACGACAGAAACTTGGGCACCTGTATCAACTAGGTACCTAGCGTTTGTGCGATAATCGTGCACGTAAAATAAACGGCCAACCTGGGGGGCAGGGCCGGCGAGTACGGCCGCTTTTACTCGCCGGCTTTAGAGTTTCCCGCCTTGTATGAGCACGGGGCTCGACAACGGCGGGCACCAGATCCGAAGGATCGATGAAACCAGCACCAACCTGCACTCGCTTCCGAAGCCGCCTTTTGGCGTGGCTTGGAAGATGCCCTCGTTGGGCGAGTGTTGACGGCTTTTCGAGAGCGTGAGCGGACTCGAGGGACGTAGGGTTGGGGTACGTTACAACGGTCTCGAAAACTAAGACGTGTATGAATACACCCTTCCCTGTCACCTTGAGCCGAGGAGTGGCTGCCGTCGATATCGACTTTCGGACGCGACGTTGAGGCAACTATGTAGTTGTCTCGGTTGCCAGTCCTAGCTAGAATTTTGTCTGCTGTGAGGGCTACCTGTTTCAGTGGTGCGTCCTCGAGCAGGGCCGTAACTGTAGGTTGGATAAATGCTGGTAGAGATTCGAGCCACAGTTCTTTAACGATTTCAGAATCGGCTGCCGTGGGTCCTGCAAGAGATTGCAGGCGCGTGAGGTGGTGGCTCGGTTTAGCATCACCCAGGGGGTGACGTGCTAATAACGTCCTCAATCGTTCCTCCCTCGATGGAAGGAAATGTCTGAGGACCGCCTCCTTGAGACGATCGTAAACATTGGGCACATTGGAATTGAGGACAACCTCACGGACAGCTACTAAATGGTCTCCCGGTAAACATTCGAGAGCGTAAGTGTACTTCTGCCGTTGGCTTGTAATATGACGGGTCTCAAATTGAGACTCTATAGCAGCAAACCAAACTTCGGGATCGTGAGGAATAAAAGATACAGGTCGAAAGTGTATAACCTGTACGTCAGAGTCTATTACGTCAATATTATTCTTATCGTTATCCGTCATGTCAAATATATATTAAAAATTAATATGGAAATATATGACAGACGTGGATAGATAAGCGATAGACTCACCAAAATTGACTTCTTTGGAAGGTTTGGTTGCGATTGCCAAGTGCTCGTAGATGTAGGTTCACCAGTTGCAGAAGATTTGACTGAAGTTGAGGCGTGTTCCAAAATTTGGGTCACCAAATGTAGCGTGGCGTCGAGTTGAGCTGAACTATGAACACCGCTACCAGACTACTTGCCAATAGACCAATAAAATTCCGATAGGCCAAAATATCAGAAGGCAAATGATTGTAGTAGTCGTATATATTTGTTGGCGATCTCGTGGTATCGAAAGAATACCGAGATCGTGCCAAAGGAGTACAGTTGCGATCGGCAAGATAAGATACGTGCGTAGTCCAAAAACCGCGTAAAAGCAACGGAATACAATGGAAGCCCAAAATGGCTGTTATTAGCACAGTTAAACAAACGAGCACAGTAAAACAGTCACTGGTACAATTGGTTATAATAATAATTGTTTTCATCGAACCAATCGCGTTCTGTTGACAAAAGTATGTCACTACAAATCTAAACACTTAAGAGTTTAATGTCGCTTTGAAAATCACTTTTGTGTTTACAGTGAAAATTAATCTGTAAAAAAGTCTAATTTATCCAGCTACATATAACTGGTGCCCGAGCTGAAGAAATGGACAACAATATTGATTATGAGATAATAAATACTTGAAAAGTTAGCAGAACTTATGCTCATGTACCAGAGATATATGCTGCAAAGTAACGCTCTGTTTTCATTTACGAAAAAACATTTGTGATATTCCATATACAATATGTTTATTACATTTTCAGCTATTTGACTGATCCAGTTGAAATCAATAATATGAACGATTTTATCGTGTATGATGCATCTTCACAGATCTTAAACTCCTCAACACACATGATGAACTGTCCCTCAAATAGTGAATAATAAAGAGACACTGGCAAAGATTAAACAACTGTGTTTAGAGAAATAGGTGACTTTCACAGTATAAAGTAAGAAAATGACGAAGTAGGTGTTCACCTTTGAAACAGATGTATAGTTTAAATGTTCATTGTTCAAAATGTTGATTGTATTCTAGATAAGTTATAGTCTACAAATTTTTAGCTTGGTCAAATGACATTCATAATTATTTTGTTTAAGTATTTAACATGTGTTGGCTTCAATTTAGTTAATGTAAGTCAATAATCATTTTCATTTGTAAACACAAACATGTATCTTAATAAAACTATTAATATAAAGAAATTCGTTGAATGTTTCTTATTTTGGATGTATAGTAAAGTTTTTTTCAAATCATCAGAAGTCTGTATTACTAGATGTGGAAATATGAATGTGTAAATATTGTCAAATTAACATTCAATCAATGTATTTACATTCATGCCTATTCATTTAGAATTGATAAAACAAAACAAAAGCACCATTCCTGTATAACATTAACTTAGTTTTATTTTAAAAATTGTAATATTATTAAAGAATAATAGATACTAATTAAATTTCACTACATTATTTCTCTTCATCATTGTTTGATTAATGAACCATTTTTATTTAAGTCTCATATATGGTGTGATAATTAGAAAAATATTTAATTGTTTAGAGACAAAAGAATGTTCCAATAATAATAACAATAATGGCACTACTGATAAACAAGCAAGAAATTTAAAAGAAATCTGCTGACCGATAAAATATATATATATATATTACTGAAAAATTATCAAAGCACTTATTCACATCTACATAGAATGATAATTTGTTACGTTGGTCTAATAACAGTCTTACTGACTACATTGGTACAAGGTAATTCCTTTCTATAATGTGCGAGATTTATCGTCATCATCATCTTGATCATTTTGATTATTATCAGGCAAGAATAGAGGTTAGTATATACTGCTGTTGTGGAAATGAAATTCAGAGATAAAATGTATCGTGTTGTTTATCGACAATAAGCATGTTGGTTAGATAATCAAAGTAATTCACAATCTAAAATGGACAGATTGAGTGTCATAGCCAAGCATAGATTTAAAGAATATTTGGTTTCAACCAAGTGCATAAAGTTTTCTTGAACGCAAGTTGTTCTTTTGAAAATGTAAATTAAACTAATTCATTTTCCTATTACGCAAGTCTCACCTATGACTTTCATCTAGTATTAATTAATAAAAGTATTAATCGTTTGTTTGAATTCCTTTTCACATAATGCAGAATTGCAATAATAATCCTTATTTTCACCCAATGTATTTTCCTATCCGATATATTGTTATCAAGTTTAACACACTAACTTACAGTATTTATGTTGATGTGTTTTCCTCTTTCATATATTCATCGCTGGAAATTTGTAATGTTAAGCGGTGACTGATTCAGATATAAAAAGAACATATCGATATGATTGCGCTATATATAAAGCGGAGATTAAACAACATCCGGACAACGAGTACAGATACGAATTAGAGTTGGAGGGTTCGAAGACCTCGAAGGCAGTGGAAAATTCAAACACAGTGCAATTGTGTGAAATACCAATGTGTAAAAACATAGTTCTAAAATTCGAGATCTATGAGAAGAAAAAGGATGACAAAGATTTCAAAATTATCTTCTCAAAGAAATATGAAAAATCCTTAGGTAAGTATTCCAACAAATAATGTATATTTCAAGCGTTATTTGCTAACCTAGTAAGTAGTTGCCATGTATCTAAATACACTGCTCTAAGACAACATCGCTGTCGTCAGAAATCAAAGCGTGATAATAATAAATATAATTTTACATTTCAGAAGCACCTGAATTAAGCGAAATGAAAGTACGTTTCGATGATGCCAAAACTGCTATCATTACCTGGAAACTTCAAAATTACGAAAACTGCAAGGATAAAGAATTGGTATTCTCCCTATTTGGCGATAAAACGGTTATGCAGATGGCTAAAGGGACAGAAATCAGGATTCCATTTTTAACACCAGGCAGCACCTACACCGTATACGCTTTCCCAAATCAAGTGGACATTGAGACCACTGTACACACATCCATTGCGTTTAATATCAAAGTTCGTAAGTTGCCGAAATACCATTGCTTCAACATGTATTCACCATTTCGCGTATACGTCACGTTCACTAAGTACATGAGTTATGACAGTATGTTTGACGATTTAACTGGGCAGAATCATAAAGTTATAGTAGACAAAAGTTATACATCAATTCTATGAGTGAAAGACATTTCACGTAAACTGAACGAGGACGAGGTAATTGGACATCACCACTAGTCTCTGCAGTTATCAACACATTGGTGCATATCAAACTATTCGTCAATCATGTATTCACCTGAAATCACTCAACTACTACACATAATAACTGTCATTCACTCAGAATGTGTTCTGTTCAGTTATCGACACACGTTCAATCAGAATTAATCATAAATACTCATTCTTACTATTACCTATGTCACGTATTCGTTTGTTGTTTCCTTTTCTCCTCCACAGCTTAAATATATGCCTCAATGGTGATGATGATGATGATGATGATGATGATGGTGATGTGGATCTGATCGTTTGGACAATAGACAGCTTATGATTATCAAAACTTTCAACGTTGTTTAATTAATTCTTGTGTATGTGCAAAACATGTTGTCATTCTCTTATTATTTTATTCATTTACAATTATTTGTTTACTTTCAACTAAACTATCCCAATAAACTACTAATCTGACAGTAAATGATTTTTGAAAGATATTACACGGATGCGCTCACTTACTCTATCTGATGTAGGTGTTTTGATGGTTGTTGGGGACAAAGAAGTTTGTAGTCATTTTAGCAGTTGACAATAAATGTCATTACACCTTGGAACTCGACCGAGTTGGGGTACAACACAGGTGACCAATATTTTCATGTAGTGCACACGTATCCTACTTACCGCTTACTGTGTTTCGTGTACTTTGAAACAATATGGAGAACATTTACAATATCGACTCATGACACACATTTTACTTTATATCTCATCGGAACTCATATGAAAATGAGCTGAACAGTAAATAATTATTATAATAATGAGCTAAAATTATGCGGATAACTGACAAGATTCCATTGTTAGTTTTGCTTTAATTATCATGGAATATTTTAAAAATTCATTGATGCTTAATTACATGACCTTTGTGAATAAAGTCTAATCACTTCTGGCTGCAACCAATCCTTTATTCTTTTATCTAATTTTAATTAGAACTGACAGACAACAAAGTCATTTCAACGAAAGTATTCAGTTATTGTCTGTTTTATTTATTCTCTTCTATGTATTCAAAATTTTATTGAAAATACATAAAGGCCCATAATTTTATCCATTAAAAGCTAACGAAATTAAACTGATTAGTATTTCTCTCTTCACTGATTACTCGAGTCTAAAGTAGATTTATGTGTAGTAAATGTAAGAAATGTTTTAATGGAAATTTTTTGTCTATTAAATTAGTGACTTTATATATGAGGAAGCTGAAACAAGCACGTTGAGGTCTATTGTGTTCAATTTGTAATTTTTTCGACATCTTCTTAGCATGTTTTCATGCCTTATAATGTAAAGTAACGTTATGTACATGATTAATCTTTCACATAATTTTAAATACTAACAAGTTGTTACTAGACCTATGACTGACAATGTTTAGAACTAGAGTGTGCACACAATGAACGTTACTTGGTTATCTGTAATAGAGGAATCACAGTGCGAGTTTCAATATCTCAGTATGCACTAATCTCCTCAATGTTTAGATATTATTTCTGTTTTAACTTGTAGCCTGTGAACCCTGTTATTGTATAGCGGGATAATACCACCAATTAGGGAACAGTAATTTATCTATCAGACCAATGACGCATAAAACTCGTGTCCGTAATGTTGTATGTAAGTAACTGCGTATACAAAACGTGATTTAGCAATTACGAATGAACCCATGGTTGAAGACAGAAAAATCTGTAAACGTGTATAAAAGTAGTCTGTTGAAAATGTATGAACAAGGGGCTTAGTTACTTGCAAATCATTTATCACCACATCTACTACATCCTAAATCTAAATCAGGATCTCTGTATTTCACTTGGTGTCGCTTCCAAACATTCATTGAATCAATGTCTGGATCGGTATTAAAAGCCACTTCTAAATTGTCTAAAATGAAATCTTTAGTTTCATAATTAACAATTGAAGTAGAAATATACTTACTCTCCTCTCTTCATATACATGATTTCCTGACATTCATTGGCAAACAACCCAGTTGGTGGTCAAGAATCATTTCCGCTCGGGTAGGTAATGTCTATAAATTGCAATGACATTATATCCGGACGAATAGTTCTTCCTTTTGATAAGTTGATTAAATCCCCGACATTTCTGTATTAGTGAGGAAATGTATTTACTCTCCTTTCCAACTCTTTGTATTTTGTAGAAGAAAACAAATTTATAACGGCTTTTACAATCTTAACGTAATTTTCTCCAAAACCATTAGAATAGGGAAGCAGTGGAGAATGGTTCGTACTTCAATCACAGAGCAATTGAGTTTTTGAATAATCTTTGGAAAATGTTTCCACTTTCATTTGCAGTTGTGCTTCCGAAAAAATATAGATGAACTATTGTCGGTCAAGAGAGACTCATAAGTTATAAATGAAAAATGAAGATTTTTGTTCTTCAGCATTCAAAACTATGGTTTATATCAGGTAAAACGCGATCTAAAGTATTCAGTGGGTTCGACAACTCTATTCAAAACTAACAATCGTAAGTATTGAACCCAAATATATTTTACAGCAACGAAATCATAGAACTACAAACTAATTCAATAGGTGCGCGCAACCCTTTTTGGTTGCGAAATTTGTGATACGTTGTTGTGGTTAAGGAAAGCATTAACGAAAGTGTCAACAGTCAATCAGTCAGTAATAACGTAGAACTTCGTACGTACGTACGTCAGTTCGATAGTCCATACCACATTAGCACAGAAATGCAGTTGTCGAATAAAATCCCGTAGTCGATCTTTTCTAACCCCTTCCTTACTTGTGAGATGGCAGCATCGCTGAAGATGCTGGTTGTCGGAGTAAACACCTACTGCTGTCACTCCCCTCAACAGTACGACTTCGCCCTCAGACCTTGAGTCGCTGCTTTTAGTCTTACCGTTCTCAAATCGACCTGCCTGGCATGGTAGAACCTACAGGAACATATGTTCCGACCAATATAGCTCGGTTGGGTCATCACGATAGGTAAACCCGACCACCACGTCAAGGTGGCAGTTACGGTCGGGAAAGTGTCAACATTAATAATCACATCTGGATAAGGAACTTTATCATAACATGCAGTAAAATGAATATCACTACAACAAACAGACTTAATATACCCAGTCAACCACTCACATCAAGAAGACGATAGAAATTTCCTTGATGACTTGGTGAATCTTCGTGAGAATCAATAATTTATTAATTAAATAAAAAGTCTTATGGCTATGATTCTACGTTTGATCGAATCGATTTTAAAAGTTACTTGGTATATTCATGGACCAAAATTTAAGTTCATTAGAAGATTTGTAATTTATGTTAATAGCTTTAACCGCTTTAAATTAACATTTTGGTGCTTGCAACTACTTATATTCTTGGTTGAATATATTAAAGCCTGCTGTCAAGCTAAGAAACAGTTAAGTAAAAAGCTGCTCACGGATTTGTAATTTACTGGCTGCTCTCGATGTCAATAAATGAAATGAGTACTCTATTAGTCATCGTTTGTATGCAATGTTGCTTTTTTTATAGTAAAAGTTGTTAGTTTTCACATGGCTTACAAAATAATAGTGTAATGACATTGCTTAGTCAGGAAAAGCCAGGCTTTTCTTAGTGAGCTGTAGCCATTATTCTTAATGAATGTAATCAAACAAGTTACAACTTTATCTTCTTCGATATTTCTTACAACCATTCACCAAATTTCAAAACAATCCAAAATACATCACCACTTATATTAATATCCAACTTTTAATTACTTGATCGTATCAAGACTCTAAGAAAGTAATTGATATAATTAAATATAGTTAACAAATTAGGAATTCCCCGCTCTGTTCAAAACAAACTTTTATAGTAACGAATAGTCTATCAATTCAACCGTGTAATCACTTGAATGTATTCTGTTGAAGTATGTGTAAAACATGCTATTATTCACTAAGTATTTCTCATTTATTAAGAACATGAGAACATCTAAGTAATACTACTATAAGATAAACAAAATATTATATTATTGGAAGATACTGTTTTCCTTGACACTTACCTTGTTTCTGAATATTTTAAGGCCAAGGACGGTTTGATATCGATGGAAATTTAGATTTCTTAGTGAAAATATCGTAGAAGCATTAATTTAGTCAGTACCTGTTAATAAATAACTCTACCTGTAGCTGATCTAGAAATACTGTGGATCCCGACCCCCCACATAAATGAGGAGGGTTCGACATGGAGTCGGCAACCTCATCGCATAGAAGAAAATCTTGCTAAAAATTGCGAGCCAGAATGAACAAATTAAACCATTTAAACTTTGCCGTGGCAGTTAGAAGGTCTTGATTCAGAAGAGTTATGACGCCACATGATGAAAGCCGAGTTCCTTCGAAAGTCACCAGGCTGATGCCCTTTCAGACAACCAGAGTAACAATCAATATAGGTATATGGAACGTCCGGACAATATGACAGGTTGGGAGGGCCAGTCAAATAGCAACGGAAATAAGGGGAAACAAATTGGCAGTACTCGGAATCAGAACTCAAAATCCATTGACTCAAGCTGGACAGCAAAGGCTAGATACGTGAGAGATGCTAATGTACTTCAGTCACGAAACGAAAAATGCTCCACACACTCAGAAAGTTGCTCTGATGCTATCCAACGAAGCACGAAAAACACTTATAGGAAAAGAAATTCACGGATCCGGGATCATCAAAGCATCGAATTCACGTGGTGTCGTTTTACTTGTATCTTCCCATTGTTATTTAGGACTTCAATTGATCAGTCTCTTGTTGGCATATGTGCATCCTGTGTGGATTGCCTTGATGTAGCCTCAAATCACAAGCTTTTTAAGCAAAGATGGATAGTGGCTAACAGTGGAATTCAGGACGCGCGTTTCGTTTTATTCGGAACTTGTCGGCTAGATGTACCTTCATCTCAGAGTTGATGTTCACTCCGGAACTCGGACCCAGTACCGTACGCTTCAAACGCCATTACGTTATCCACCTGGCATTCACAAAGCATCGTTCAAAACAAAGAAGAAGAGAAGCACGATGGATGTTATCCAGTGTTATGCACCCACCAACGATAGCAATGACCATGATAAAGATCAGTTCTACGAGAGGTTGCGATCGATCATAGCAAGCTGTCCAGGAAATGACCTGACCATCGTGATGGGAGACCTAGACGCCATAGTCAGGATGGACAACACCGGATACGAAGATATCATGGGATGACATGAACTAGGAGAAAGGAACGAGAATGGCGAGAGATTTGCAAATCCATGTGCATTCAATAAATTGGTTATAGGCGGCACAAT